AGAAATTGTACACCCCACCCCATCCCACCACCTCACCACTGACACAGTTTGCGACAAGCGTTGAAAGGCGGTTTGCTTGCCCACCAGCTGTACGAATAGTAATATAGGGGGCAATGCGTAAAATAAGGGAATGGCAATCATTTCGGTGGTCAATGCGATTGCTGATCCAATATGGCCTCCAAAATGGTCGTAACATAGTCGATTTTTTTGAGAGTTGGGGGATGAAGACAAACAACAAAGTCAATGCAGTTAGAGCCTCAGATTCCATTCAGAAATGATGATAAGATGAATGGCAAAGCAAATCAAAACCAAAGTTGAAGATAATAATAAGTGAAGAAAAAGAGAAAATTGTAAGAAGGGTCTGAATAGGGCATCGCCTTTACAGAGGTCAACATAAAGGAAAACACATGCCTAGTGGAAACTTTAAAGTTGTCCATAGTCGAGGGGAGTTGCTAGGATGGAGGGGAAACGGCGCCACTTATAGACCCATTGGAGTCGATTTGAAAAATTGGGAGCTAGAGAAGAATGGCCCGTGCTTGAATGGATGAGTTCAATGTTTAATGCTACAGCAAATTCCTCATCGTAGAAAGGGTCAATAAGAAATCAAATTTCGATGAAACTGTTTGTTCAAACGTTAAATACTTGAGGTGGGATCAGGAGAAGTTAAACTTGTTTTTGATGACACACATTCCCAATTCAGCAGTGAATTTGAGTACACACCCTAGACTGCAACCTGATAAGTTAAAATGAAACAGTGCCATAAAAATAATTCAAAACTACTTGAGATCATAAAGGAGCTAAAAATAGCCTATCTACTCTACGTGAGAGAAACTCGAAGAAAAAAATAAGAGATGCATCATTTTAATCTTGCCACTCAATAAGGAATGAAACAGCGATCCTATCAGGCAATGTAATATTTCAGTTGCTTGCCGACGCTCCATTTTGGCAAAAAAATCATTCGGAGGTTCTCAAGCCGTTCTGGATGTCGACAATACACGCCCCACTCGAGCAATAGGGCTTTCTTCAGGGAGACCTCGGAGGGCTACGTCAGTACGCCCTGCAAACGAATATGCCTCCAAACGCCCATCTCAGGAATCGTGAATACAAACCTAGTGCCTAAGCCTTGTTTCCGATTTATCGGTTCAACTCGTATGCTTAATCTGCAATCCACAACACCAAATCCGGTAAGACGATTTTAAGAGCAACTTCAGTACAGTAAGCTTAAAAAAGAGTCTGATGAAGCTAACTTAAACGTCTAAGATTGTATGCATCAACTTGGACCAAGACAAAGTATCGGATGCTTTGGTGCACTAAAATGGCTACTTATATGGGAAGAGCCCATGCACAGAAAATCGCCGCATGTGTAACTTTAACATTACCCACTTTGCAAAAAATCATAAGAGAATAACCTGTTGAACTGCCCTGTTTGTTTCAGAAAACCAAATTTAACCAAATTGTAAAAGTGCCTAAATCAAGGCCTGAAAGTGACGCAGAACAAAATGAATTACAAGACAGGAAAAGTTTACCCACTTTAATGTGATGAAATGCCTCGAAATGCGTGATAATAAATAGTCTCAAGACAACAAATGGCGAAAATATGGAGGTACGCATTATTGTGTTAGGGTTCTACCTTCCTTAAGATGCAAGTGTCACCGAGCCATCTCAGTCACTAAAACACCATGGGTTCGAGAAAAGAAATAAAGCCCAGTCATATCATCAAAATACTGCGGGTAGCTACTTGAAGTGTCCACCATAAATAATCCCCAAAATCACACTCGTTGGAAGAGACTACGAAGCCTACTCACCGATTGCATTCCCCTCATATCAGTACCACCAAAACTAGAGGAAGCCAGCTACAGAAATAGATTTAACCCCGGCAATAACAGCAATTTAACAATCTCAATAAGCTGTACTTCGTCATTATAAAGCAACAATTTCGAACGTCAAGATATCTAGTTTAGAAGAGTCGGAAACGTCTAAATACAAGAAGCAGCCAGCCTACATTTTCAAAATTATTTGCATTTTTAAAGATTGTGAGGTCAAACGAATACTCTGACACGACTGTCATTTCAGAAAAACAAATGGTTAGAACATGTTTGTTTGATACATACGATTGTGGGAAATAACTGCGTAGGTCTCCAACCTATTTTGCATAGAAATAAATAAAATCTAAATGTTTAGAGTTTACTGCGCGTTTAAAAGCTCCAGTTAGAGTTATGAAAAGGCATTATGGACTTAGGAAGACAAAACAAACTTTCATGGACAAAGTACATCAGATTTTGTTTCTTTTACAAGTCCCTGATTGGGAAGTTAATAACTAATTGGGAGGAAATCCCTAGAGTTATTACTGCTACTGTCAAAGAATAAAAGTCATTGATTAAAAGTGCAAAACCGTCGCATAGACCTCTGCAACCCTATTCACCAATGACATCCCTGCGTCTAACGCGCAGGCGCTAATTCTGATTGGCCCGCAGTCTACGTGTACCAATGAATGATTGAGCCTTAATCCATATTATCGAGACAACCAATCGTTCGCTTACAAATAAAAGCCCTTATCTACTGTGTTTTCCAAAAAGGCGTGGTAACAGATCAATTTTGAAACACCAAATAAAACAAGTTCCAGGCTTACAATTAAGCTAAACTCAGAAATTAAAGGTCAAAATCGCCTACGCCAATCAATGGGACAGAGTGATCCGCCCAGTTCTCTCCCCTCTCACGACTAAAATAAGGAATTTCATGATTAAACTGGATGTACTTTTAACAAGCAGAGGAGACGTAACCTCGGACCAACAGCGTAACATGTTAAACCTATCAAAATCAGTCGCAACAACAAAGTTCACAAGTCGTGATAAATGACTTTCCATTAAGACGTTGTCAGCATGGCGTTTTGAACCTTCAATAAGTAAAATAGCATTTCAAAAGACCATACAGAAGTTTCCCCAGAATAAATTAGATTTATTAATGTAGTGAACCTATTAAGCTGCCGGACATCGGTTCGCTTATTTCTACAAGTTGGCCGTTCCTCTAGTTTTGAGATCTGAGTATGTGGACACATTTTGTTAGAGTCCCATTGGACCAATTGAAGCCTCCAAAAGTAGAACCAAGTAGAGAACCAGTAGAGTTTAATCCAACTCGACAAGCATCCCTTACAAATCTGCAACATTTTAAACCTCCGCCTTCGTGTAGTATCGACTATCCCCAGCAGTGTCAAGAGTTGGTACTTTTCCATCTCTTTAAACAACGCAGTGAGGTAGTGGGTACGAAAACCTTTTCAGGAAGCATAATTGGTAGACTTAAGCAACACCTTAGTCAGGAGGGACCAAATTGTAGTCGAGTGTTTATCTAATACTTATTAGCTGCGTAAAAGGCTTCCTCTGGAACAAATCTAGTAGAGTCGATTGGTGCAGGTGTAGATGCATTTTGATTGGTTTATACCTCAAATCCCATTTCCACGTGGATTGCTCCAAGCAGGTAGGCGGCGGCAGACATGTTTACCACTGTGACTTCGATACAAAAAAGAAAGGACAAACAGGCCTCTCTTGATTGGTTGGCTCAAGGTCATGAGCGTGAAAGACAATAGTCCACCACTGATGTTGTGCTCGTTATGCATTTCAGACAAAATAACTAAATGACATAGACCTTTTAAGTGCTTGAAAGCAGGGTTTTGAAGAGCCTGGATAGCGCGAAGAGATGAAGTCATATTCCGTAATGATATTTCATTCTTAAGATTTACGGTCAAGTGAGGAGGAGTTTGTCTCAAATTGAGGTTAGAGGGTGCCAAAGTAAATGAAAACAAGGACGGAAATAAGTTATATGTCCGATTTAATGGTGACTACCGCCAAAACCGATAAAAGCTCCAGCGTTGAGAGCAGATGAAGGACGTCACGCCGAGACGGAAAGACAGCTTTTAAATATGGTGTTAAACTAGAAGAGACCATGAATCAAAGGAGCATAGACAAGCAGTGGTATTGCTTGGAAGCATACTTATGAACTTACTAATAAGTGTTGCCATTCGTCATGTGGTGAGAGATTTAAGAGGTAAGAAGTGAAACGAGCCATCTTGAGGAATATTTTTGAACCGGAGGATTATCTTAGGGCCAATGGGCAAGAGACTAAGGAAGCAATGGAAAAGTCTAAAAATGAAATCAACGCCCTTGAGGCCGGAGACAGCGTTCTACTGTTCAAAGATTCCTGAGGGCCTGGAGAAAAGGATGCACCAGCGAGACTGGGTTGAGCTATACAGCATCACTGAGCTCATGAGAGCTAAATGAATAACTGAGTCTAGCTTCTCCACCAAGAGTAATGAAAGCAGGAAAGGCAGAGTGAGTGCCCACAATAATGCCAATAATTACAATTCTGAAAGCCTAGTATCATAGAAAAGGTTTCCAGGAATTTCTGAGATAGAACTCCTGTTCTTGAGGTTTTTATAGAACCAAATTCCAGCTGAGTTGGCAGAGGTACATGAATTAGGAGAAAGAAACTCATCTCGAGAAGGACCATTCCTTAACTATAACAATAGCGAAATCGAGAACTTCATCGCCTTCGGTAACGGATGCCACAAAGGAAGGAGATAACGAAGCAAAAGTACATAGGCAGGCATGAAGGCTCAACTCTCGAAAGGAAATGCATGTTCAATTCAAAGGCAAACCCAATTAGCGACCGTTAAAAGCGGTGAGTTGAGAGAATGGAGAACCTGAAGGCTAAGGAACCCTTAAAACGAGGAAACGCTCTCAAAGCCATGGTAACTAATGGTAAACGGAAGAGCGATCAAAGAGGAGCACTAAAATCTATTGAAAGCATTGAAATGTTGATGGCCAGTGCTAACAGCGGTAGGAAGGATAAAAGGAGAATGTCCCGTTATGGAAATTGCCCTTCATCGAATCAGCTATAACCGCTGAATAAAGTGAGGAAAGTAAAAAGTGATTTAAAAATAAGCCACAAAGAAGGAAACGGACGAAAAGCGAAGTTAGAAGGAAGCAGATAATAACTAAAATTGGGTATCAAAACAGACAGAATATGAGAGTAGACCTTAAGAAAAGGGAGAGAGAACGCACCTCAGGGTGGAATTGTTGTTCCGTGCGGGTGTGGCAGAATGTGCACGCATCACCGGCATCACAAAGGGAGCTGTCTAGCCACTCGTCTGCGGGTCGTACAGCAGGACACGGTGTGCTGCGGTAGAAGCAGCGCTCGGGCATTCGTCGTTTGTCCTTCCCATTATGGTAGTAGGGACACGAGTACCCTTGCCGGCACATGCGAGGCGGCTTGCGGCACGACTCCGTCTTGTAGCGCGCCATCACATGAAGCATATCTAGCAAACAACAGAATGACCAAGTAATTCACTATTGACATCTTTCGCGGTTCACAAATCCCCTTCTGTGATCAAACATCCCATCTTCCAGAGCCTCGACGCATTACTCGACTGCTAGAATGGTGGTAGACTGTTTTAACCAGCTCTAGAAGACCCAAAACAATTCACCCACTAAACCTTTCATTTTTTTCGGCGGAGAAGACAACTAAAACAACCGGGATCTTGTCAACTCAGGGATACCGTCAGGATAGGAGGAGATTGAAACTGCTCACAAACGTTTGCAGAGTGACACGAATGACTGTGAAGTTAAGGATCTTTAGTAGGAGGGAAAAAAAGGGTTATTATGTGGCTCAAAAGGGCTTTCAGTACACTCGACTATCTTGAGACGCAAAATAGGAGTGGCGGCGGGAAGGCGCCTCGGCTCTGATGCAAGGAATGGTAATTTTAAGTGTACATCTAGTTATTTGAGGATTTCTACTTCATCGCGATGAGACGATTAGTAAGGGGGTCCGGTTAAATGCAATTATACCACGACCATTGATCCTGCGGTTAGTTGTGGAGGTCACTGGAATGCAAGTAATAAATAGTTGCTGTGGCAACGCCTTAAAAACTAAGTAGTGTGGATTTTACATTTGGGTAGAGAACGCATCAAATGAGATTTGGTGCCGGGAGGTTTACCGCGTCAAGTGGTTTTAATCTTAAAAATGGACCGCGTGGATGATGCGCAAGATGGTATGTAATCATAAGGACTGAAAGGCAGTACATTCTGTACTAACTTATACATGGAGGCATCAAAAAAACCCGACTAAGGTGCAATGTTAGCTAAGTGGCTCTCAAACTGCCATTCTAAAAGGAAACAGTTGAGAGCAAGCGACCTTAAGAGAAAAAATCACCTGGGAGCTGGATATTTCGAATTAAGTGGAACGCATGAGGTGCACCAAAGGAGTGAAGTCACCCTTTCCACCGCATATTTCAGTCGACAAAACTTTAACTCGTTCAGGCGCCATATTCGTCTTGGTAAGACATTCTACAGATGTTGGACAACAGGAGTGGAAAGGCTGTCTAAGAAGACCGAGTCCTTTCAATTATCTATGAATGAACAGTGGACAAAATATAGTACAATGACAGCGGGAGAGTTACGAAAAAATCACTCCATAACCCCACCGAAAGACAATTTCAGTTCAATGTTGTGGGAGAGAGTCCGATTTACAAAGACAAGTGGATATCTCCATTTCGCAGGTTCATCAGACTTCACGACATTATGCATAAAGCATACGGGAACTGATTACCTTATTCACAAAAAACTAAGTGCGAAACTGTATACGTGGAATAATAGTAACGAAATTAGCCGAAATCTGATCTGGGTGTAGTTACCATATTTCAGTACAAATTGGAATTGGACACAGCCCATTTTCCGGAATGAAACTTTTGTTGATAGTGTCTCTATTCGATTCAAGAGGGCTCTTTTACTATATGGCTTACTTCTCTACATTCAACAAAACCAGGTTACAACGCTACTGATATCCGTTTTAAGTAGTTAGTAGGGCTGAGGATCACGTGAACCTGGAGACAAGCACAAATTTTAACACCTCTTACATACCAAAAGGCATTGTTAAAGACCCTGTCTTAGTGAAACTAGTATTAACACCATGTGACCCAACTTTGCTCTCGGGGTCACGTAGGTCAAACGTGAGATCCAATCTCACGTGAATCATCATTATTCTAATCGGGCAGAGGGACACACAGAACACAATATATTAAAAGACAAATTGTCGGGCAATTACACAAAGCACCTATCACGGTAGCGTGTGAATAAGGGCGATAGTGGCCCCCAGCCAATCAGGAGTTAAGCAGTGGGGAGAATCACGTGACCACTTGAACGTTACCTCAACAGAACAGCAGTCTAAGAACGGTGCGACCCAATTCCCAACCCCTAGAGAGCAACCTTTGAAAGGACCTATACTTTTTCATACCAAATGAATAGACTTTGTGGGATGTGAGGGAGGGAAGAATACAGACGGGCGCAAAATATTGCATCACTTGGAGTAATAAAGATGACGCGATAGACTAAGTTGAATGAAAGTTATAAGGATCTAAAAATGGCGAATTTTGGTACATTGCTGTTTGTTTCGAGAGTAAACAAACGTGGTGACTGCATCTTAAACGAAAACAAAAGGCGTAGAATGCAAAATGACGACGGTTGACTAACTTTCAGAACATGAGATGAACCCATGAAGAGAATCAAAGGCAGCTACCTTGACCTCCTGATGCGGCACAATGAGGAGAGAAGAGAGTGTCCAGGCTACTTTAAACGCCATTCGACACAAAGAAGGAATTATGAAAGAGTGATTGAAGGTGTCACAGATAGCAACAGAGATCGTGTTACAGTGAGGGTAAGCGACATCTTCCATTCTATCAACCAATTTTACAAAACGATAGTAACTAATGCCCAAGCACCAGTGGACATTTGCTGATAAAAAACAAAGGCAAAAATATCAAGTAAAAGGCATCGAAACAAGGGAACAAAGTGGGATAGCGACTCCTCGGTCATGGACTTCACTAGGGGACTTGAAATTGCGCTAACAGGAATAAAAATGACCGAAGAGGTGGCCCCGCGTCAGTTTGTAAACGCCGTAAGCAAATGAGTAAATAAATAAACAAACCCATTTACCAGTGTACTTTTAAGGTTACAAGGTTAAGGTAATGATGGCACTATTGTCCAAAACTGAGAGTTTAAGTAAGGGTACACCCTGCCAATGGTCAATGTGATATCTCTACGTCCTTAACAGGTCCGATGCCAGAGGAATGGAGGCAAATTTAGGCGCATCAGCCGCTTTTCAATGGGAAAAAGAAATATAAGATCAGCGTAAGACAAGACATTGACTCGGATGTGTGTGACACGAGTCAATTCGCTCCAAATTATCACAAACAAATGGCACACAAGAGAAGAATCCTTGCAGTGAACACGTGTGAGGTTGACACCAAGCATTTTAACACCGCCAATATAAGAAAAAGAGCTCAACGTGCAGTAGGAGAAAGGGACAAGAAAAATTTGGCATAAGTGATGTTTTTTTTGCCTACTTGTTCCCATATCAATGAAAGCCTACCTGTCAATATTAATCAAATGCTGACAGTCCCCTCTGAAGGCTGTACCATTTCCAGCGTTCTACTGACGGAGAGTGATAGGACGAATAAGCAAAACATAAAATGTGCCGTAGTTCCCAAACCAGACGTGCCTTTTTCCTGGTAAAATTTTGTGCTTGTCAAATGGTCACGTGTAGCCTGTGAACAATGCATAGCAAGTCGTGCTCCTTCGTCTTCGTAAGACCTTCTCTGAGGTGGCTTCAAGGTGCCCAATTGCATCATCATCCATCTGCACCTGTTTGGATGTTTCCGCACACGCATACAGAACGCATTTGCAGGGCTTGAGTTTTAGTGATAAATAACGACGGACTCAGCTATCGCATAAATTGTGAAGTAGGAACACGCAAAACCTTTCCCAGGTAAATAAAGTCGTCACACAATCACGTGAGTGCCAAAAACAGTTGCAGACACCACATCAAGTAGCTACCACACAATTTTGCATAGCTGATAGTAAAATAATTGGTTTTAAATAAAGCCCTCATCCAAGTGAGAGACAAGAGTAACTCAACTTGTATTATATCAGCTAATTCGATTACAATTAATGGATTCATAGACAGAAGTTTCTACTCAAAGGAAATCAAAGGAATGGAAGTCTAGACACAAGACTGTCTTTCCGTAAACAGGAGACCAAGTAGCCAATTGGACAGACAAACAAACTAGCCCAGCTTTCGTCACCTGAATGGCGAAATCGAGAACTTCAGCTATACCTTGACAGACATGTAAACAAGGTATGGACTTATTGCATAAATGTAAAATTAAATTTCCCAAGCTAATCACATCAATCGGTGGAATTGCAGATAGAAGACAATAAAGTGGCTCTAGTGCACGTAGCAGATTATTAGGCAATTAGCACATAGCTCGGCCAAAATGATAACTACATAAGTTAGGAGTTGAGGGAAAGAAATACCCCTCCATTATCTCGACTTTATGAGTGGAAATAAACATTGCCCAACTAATTCAAAGCTCATACTTAACAGTGTCTTGGTTGCACCACTAGTGTTGTAAGGTTTGAATAGGCGGACACATCATTTTTAACTCACACAACAAATACTGATGGGAATCCATGCGACAAAAGAAATATTCAGAGAAGAGCATTTCCTGAAATGAGCTGATGCTTCTTTTGAGGAGGAAATGAATAAGTTTGGAACAAACAAATAAACGACCAAAGACATTTACAAAATTAAATGCAGTAATATTAGTTTGGAAATGACGAGAGTGCAAGTATGAACAAAGGCGAGAACGCGTATGAAAGTGCAATATTCTCATCACATCTGATGCGTCATCGTACCTACATGGGTATGAAAGTATATTGACTGCACCTTTAAATCGTGGCTAGTAGGTAACATTTTTTAAACGAGATGCGGGGCAACGGCGTTTCCGCCGTTTGGAAATAAGCTTATTTTTTGCAACAAAAGGGGCATATATTTTGCCGGTTCATTCTCTTTTGCACAAAAGTTTTTGCCAAAGTTACAAACAGATGTAAGCTAGTAGATTTTAAGAGTAATTAAAATAAGTAGACTTACCATTCCAAGTGGGATCCTCACTGAGTACCCGTTCCTTCTCCAAACTGGCAGGAAGATTGACAGTAACCTTGGACGAAGAGGCATCTTGAACCTCGCGTATATCGTAAACAGGTAACCGCAAGTCGTCGGGCCCGTGAGCAAAAGCACAGTGAAGTCCATTTTTTACACATGCACCAGTCTCTGTGGTTTCATAGATGCAATTTCCGGTCTTGAAGTAGCGAGGATGATAGCGCCTTTCCGTATCACCAGCGTTCCGATGCGCGTAGGGGCAACTAAGTGAGAATTATAGGCATCTTTAATCTGCATATCGACAAATGCAACACTTCACCAACACCGAGAAAACTTACTCATCACCATCAGGACAGGTGCCTGAATTCTCATCATATTTATCACAGTAAACATCTGGATTATAATTAAAAGTTCCATCGATCTTCTTTATGGGTCGCCTCCTTTTCTGATTTGGAAAGTGCCAGTAAAAGCATGTGTAAGGTCGATGATTATGACATTGCTGTTCTAGAAACAAAGGGCACTGCGTCGTCCTAAATTCATTCAAATATCTAGAGGCAAGTATTAAGGGGAAGAAAATCGGTGAATTACTTTAAATGACGTGGTCGCTCCATGACATCAAACGGCAGCCGATTCGCTTTAAAATAACTATATGTATCTGGGTTAGTCACCATAATCATAATTGCAAGACCCTGTTTTCCTGCCTAGGAAAACCACCATGTGGGAGAATCCAAGCCCCGCTACACACAATATAAGAGGCGCCAAGGTCGCAATATAATATCTGTGGTGAATTCAAAGCAATACACTTGTCTGATCTTAGAACCGTTAAGCAGCAATTGTTTTGCGAGTTTTCACTTAAAAAATTCATATAAAAAACGTAACACTTTTTATTTTATATATGTAAAGTGTCCTTAGTCTTTCATATTAATTTAAGAAGTATGGCTACTCTGTCGAATACATGAATTCAGTAAAGTTCGGGAACAATCGGAAAACTTGACACGGCTTGGAGGAACTCAGAACCGGCGTTCTGATTGCAAAGCAATACATTAAGAGCGCAGGCAAAGAATGCATACGTTACCCTTCTCTCGACTTTGTCTCCCCATCATTTTTACCGATGTACCAAACAGATTATCCCGGAGGCAATACACATTCTTTTGGCTTGTCAAGGGGAAGCGAGAAAATGATTTAGAGCCTACATCACTCCTACCTAGGTACCAACAAACTATTGCAGCGTCATTCCTGGCTATGTGAATTATGGATTAACCCACCTGTAACAACTACGTCCATTCTACTGTCCCAAATCTCATGCCACGAGATGGAAGCCCAGAGCAGACTCACAAAACCACGACCTTAAGAAAACGAATTACCACATTCAACTCAATGTAATAAAACTTTATTCACCAGCGGAATCCATGTTATGAGCTTACAGCCCCCTTCCCCAATGCAAGTGCTTCGCATGAGCAAAGCACTGGGTAACTAGTAGCAATATAAGAGATCCCCTCAACATACATACACAGCATAGGAGAACGCATGCGTTAATTGCCAACGTCAATGACCTGTTGTTTGGAAACGCGGATATGTCAGATGAGTGGAACTTTACAAATACGTTCAGAGGTTAAAGAACAGGTGCTTTGCCAGAATTTTGGCACCAGGCAACGGAGAAGCCACGATCAGGTCCTTTCGAGGACACAATGCCTTCTTCAATTGGTCGCATACCTCTTTGTCGTTCAATTCATATAGGCTGTAAGAAGCGGAAGATGTCACCAACCCAAGAGATAACCGACTGGGTTAGGGATGAAGTCGCACAAGAACCCAAAGAAGTCAGTAGCGAGCCCCCTTACCTACGCATCGCAATATACACTAATGTGTTTAAGATGTCTTTACAGGAGAGAGGTGGCTAGGCAATTCGAACACGAACACAGTTGTGAGAAACGGGAAGACACATCCGCGGGGTTACGTTGGCCTATTAGCTCATCGATGCTCCTACTTCCTTCCTGTACAAGATGCCAAGTAAACCCTCCCAACCAACTCCTTATAAAGCAAGAGGCTCAGAGGCCTGAGGATAGGCTGGAAGGTCCTACACGCATTTGAACCCTAAAACAATCTTTATTTCTCGACATGAATGTCTCACTTTCATAAAATTGAATCATTTTTAAAATACATGCAATCCAATGGAATTCCCTATTGCTAAAAGTTTGCTGAGTATGAAAGCTCAAAAATTCACGTCCGTATTTTATGGGTGAAGATGTGATATCGCCTAACCATTAGGGTTATACGGCACAAAAGCCAGCCTCACAATCAACTACGCTGAGCGACGAAAACAGACACTCAATTCAAGAACAAACTTCTCATACTTGATAATAATACGTGAAAACTTACTGGACCAGGGTGAAGCACGATCGGTTGCACGTAAGCCAAGCCTGTAGTGTCACTTCCGGCACCAGCTCACACACAAGACGTGCAAATTCATCTGGAAAAGAGAGTGAAGGGTAAAAGGTAAAGTTAAAGATCCTCCCAAAGAACGCATTACTCAGTGAGCGTAGATGCCTACACTTACGCGAACCGCTCTTCTTCTCATTCTGTAACAGTCGGCTGACAAGCAGTTGACCCTCTGGACGCTCCAGAAATGGTACGTTTGGAGGAAGAGTATAGTTTTCGGGAGTAGAAGTGTCCATCGGTTCAGCTGCATTTCCCAGTTTCCCACTCTCGTCATTTTCTTCATCATCCTCCTCTACATTGGTGAAAGCTTTCACTGTCTATAAAAGGGAGGTATGAGGTCCAAAATCACTTGTCTAAGGCAAGGTCTGGTTTAATCATGAGCAAGGCCTGACGAAAAAAGGAGATTAGGACTACGAAAATCCCAATCAAACTTCTGCGAATGTCACTGCTTTCGTATTGGTCCAGTTCTCATCGAATTTACAACTCGCGCTCGAGTTTAATGTATTGTGGAACAATCCACAAATCAGTGTCGTTAAAGTCCCTCTGGTTCGGATGGAGCCACTTTATCCGCAATATCAGGAACTAGGGCATTAAGATCTGTTTTCCTGAAGTACCTTTACAACTCTTTGATGTTAGAAATGCGAAAAGATAACCAAATTGGCAGCATTTCATAATATGATTCCGTACCAATCCAATGACCATAGACGCTTTCACCATCAAAAGAGATCACCACAGGCGAAGGATTAACAGGAGGTCGATTCGCAACGAATGGAGGTGGTCTATGCTGTACTTACAAACTACCAAGTAGCACTAAAAACGATAAGATCACGACTATTCGATTACTAGAGCATCTACTCAGCGTCCATAAAGAGGAAGTAACAGAAGGCATTCACCAATAACTGATGCCCATTCATGATATTCATTACCAAAAAGTGAAATTGAAAATGAGAAGAATATGTCAGACATTAGTTTACCACGAATAATGCGTGTCTAAGAGTCTACTGACATTAAGGCATCAAACTCACCACTTTTCGTTTCTTTACACCTTCTGCCATAGCAATGGCTAGAGCGCGTTTCCTACGCTGCATCTGGAGCATGCGCTTGGCCTCAGCCGAAGCAGAGCCATGAGATGGGTGTGTCGGTAGGCCAACAGGCTGGAAGTTGGGATGAGCTAGAACTGACGCCACAAAGTGACGCAGAGCACGAGTCCGTGCTTGCCCCAACTCTGCTAGGTCCTCTTGCGTTAGGAAGGAAGGCGATTTTGCCTCTGCTGCAGCAAGACGTTCGACCTCCTTGATTCCAGTGCGTTTAAAACAACTGACTGCGGTGGAGAATTGAAGTTCGTAGGCGGAACTGAAAAGGAAAGCGAGGGAATGTGCAACGTCTTCCATCCAGTTCTTCATTTCTAGCAAAGGTACTTAAGTCGTAAAATAGCGTTTGGTATAGGAAGATACCATAAGTGGTGTTCAATAGAATCGACTGGCAGATTTCTTGGGAGAACATATCACTAATGAGTCGGAGTTAAAATATTAAGCTTCAAAACAACAGCAAATTAAAAACACAAGTGAGACGGGCTCCAGGATCAAAAGCAAGAGAAACTGGTTAACCTTCGAATGAGTATCTCCGCGAGCAGAACCACTCTCGACCTATCCACCAGTGGTGCAGTGTGTTTCGCACTGCCTATAAAGAGGCGAATCAGTGGGTCATCCTCTTCGATCTCCTTTTCTCCCTCCACCGGTTCGGAAACCAGGCGAAGAAGGGCTGGCAGCAAACAGACTGGTGGCGTTCGCAGCTCCATAGCCCGGACGGCGAGGGGCTTCTTAGTGAAGGGTGAGTCGTCTCCACCAGCCAGACAAGCGGAGACGAGCGTAGGTGCGAAATGACGCGGCTCTCGTGGAGCTAAGGCATAAAGAAGGACCTTGCGTGCGTGAGGGTGGCATACTACGTCCTCCAGATCCTCCAACAGCTCCTGAAAGGCAACATTGTTTATAAAGTTTCCTGATAGACTTTAAAAATATCAATGGCTCAATCCATAAATAAAATGTAGAAGCAGCAATATCGTATATGGAATTGGCAAGTTCTGAACTTCAACCGCTTACCTTTATAACAGTTTTTGCCAACAGTTTCGTATCATCTACTGCATCCAATAGACCCATCAAGAAGATATGCCCATGCTCATTCTCCGCAGTAGACACAACAAAGGTTCGCAATGACTTAATTAGAGTCTTGCGTTCTTTTGGTGGGCAAATCCAAAGCACCGCCAAGGCGGCTTTCACGCCCTCGCGAGTGTGCAACATTGAGACGATACCAACTTCGAGGATGGTCTCAACTAAAGCGGACAGTCGATCCTCGCGACGTGGAGTCTGAGATTCCTCCGCAGTACACTCCATCACGTCTTGAACTAGCTTAGTGGTTTCTGCAGGGGTGTTTGTGGCTGTTTGGAGCTTGAGAAGGTCAGACGACTGCAGCATAACTCTGAGGTATTCCAACAAAAGGTGTTGAACAATGCTTAGGCGCATTAGGCCCCTAAAAAAATACACTTAAAATTCACTGTTCGTAATAATGCGGTGCTGTAGAGGACGAAATAATCCTGAAATCCAATCCCTCCCATAAAACAAAAGCAGGAAGCGCTTTTGTCCACACCATCACCAAAGTAACAATGAAAAAAGGTGAGCAATATCTACCCTTACTTGGAGATCATGGTGACGAGAAGGTCATTGAGATTGGCCAATATTGTAGATTGCTTCTCAGGATTGAGGTCGAGGGCTTGCTGAAGGTGCTGTACATTGTTGGCAGTGAGCTGAAAGGCAAATTGTTGACCATAGACCTCCTGCAGAATGAGCGCACGCTGTGATGCCGTCGCGTAGTCGTTGTAGAGCACCTCCACAACCTCAGCTGCGTGCTTGTGACGAAGCAGCTTTACCACGTAACCCCGGAAGAGCTGGAAACAAGTGGAACTGGTTATATGAATAAGCACAAACCCGTAAATATTTTTTGAAAGATCAAATCATCAAGAGGAAACACTAAAGGAGCCTTTGAACCTCCATACGGTTGAAGTTACCTTGAAGAGTTCGAGTCGATGCTCCTTGGCACCATAGTTGATGAGTTTAAGCACCACGTGCTTGCCATATTGAGACATGGTGAGGTAGCGTAGACGGTCCTTTAACTCTGCAAAGATGACCCACCGTTGCGCCTCTGTGCCTAGCTGCAGCATCGACTCGATGATACGCGAAGTATCGTGGGCTCGGCTTAGATCCATTAACTTCGTCTGGAAGGTAGAGAATCAAGTGACATGAGAAGACTGCTATTTAAATGAATTTCCCCTAACCGAAGGTAATACGTAGGCAAGGGCTTTTCAGTCCAATAATTTTCAAAATACACACAAAGCAGTGCTAAAAATAAAAACCAACTAATTAGGCTCAAGGATCCCAACTAACTCAAATTGACATATCACATTTGCGTAACATGCCATATCGCAGAAAAAA